ATCAACATGTGTCCCCTCTTCTTCATGTCTCTTCTACATCAACATGTGTCCCCTCTTCCTCATGTCTCTTCTACATCAACATGTGTCCCCTCTTCTTCATGTCTCTTCTACATCAACATGTGTCCCCTCTTCTTCATGTCTCTTCTACATCAACATGTGTCCCCTCTTCTTCATGTCTCTTCTACATCAACATGTGTCCCCTCTTCTTCATGTCTCTTCTACATCAGCATGTGTCCCCTCTGTGGAAAGAGACTCTGAAAGTTTCAGGAACAAAGATTCTCTCTCTTTTGTCTGATCCATTTCTATAAAAACCTGTCTGAAAATGAGCTGATCAGATGTTGGTCACTTTATGATGTCATAACGATGTTTTGTCTTGCGTAACCATTAGCCAATCAGCAACCAAGGTAGGTTCATTTATATCTGAAAGGCTCATTAAAGCTGTTTAATACTATATTTTATATAAAGCTCAAGGTACTGTGACGTTACTCGGAGCGCTCAGCCTTCAAACGGAAAAAAAATGTTGAAGCCAAAGTAAATAAATAATATTAATAATCGTAAACGTTCGATGTTTAATCCACTCGCCTTGAGAAATCGAGGGGCAGCCCGAGTAAAAACTGTATCCAACAGATATCACCGTGAAACTCCCCCACTTCATTACTGACATTAACACAGTTCTTTTTTATATTGCAAGTTTTCTGACATGTCATGTTAACATATGCAAATGAGGCGTTATGTCATGCTCACTGTTCCTGAATTTAGGAGAAATCTGCAAACACACAAACAGACACAGTTAGTGAGATAAACTCCTGGATGTGGATTTAGTTATTTCCTTTCCACTAGTGTGAAAGAAGACATGTTATGGAGGATGAGGTGTTTTAAAGGAGCAGTCCAACATTAATATCTCTCTCTGTCTCTGGTAGAGTGCCATAGAGTCTCTGTTCGGCGCCTCGATGACCGGCGTGGCGTACTCTCTGTTCGCCGGGCAGCCGCTCACCATCCTGGGCAGCACCGGCCCAGTTCTGGTCTTTGAGAAGATCCTCTTCACTTTCTGCAGGTGAGGAGGGAACACCTGTACATACACCTGCACATCGATAGTCCTCCTAAAATAATGGATCACTTCAGGATCATACATTTAAAATGACTGGAGGAATTCACTCACAATATCCCAGAGAGAATTGGTTAATAATATGGTGGGAGAGGAGCAAAGGGATATTTGTGTTTGCGTGGTTGTGAACAAACTGATAATTAATAGTGTGACTAGAATAGACTTTGTGAAGAAGACATCCTGCGCTTTTATTTTCCTTCCATTGACTCATGACTCAAAAAAGCTGAACAAAGTCATGGAAAGATTCCCACCGCTACGAGACTGTAATATTTAAGACGGAGCCACAAAAACACTGAGTCCTTGAGTTTTAATGATTTAAACAACTGCTTTTTATTTGATTCATTTGCACATTAGATTTGAATGAATCAAGTCGTCTTACAGGTTCCTCCCAGTCGTTTTTAAGGCGCTCACTGGGGGAACAGCAGGAAGCCGCTGAAGGTGCTGTGGTGGTTGCTGTTGTCCCAGATCTGAGTGTCGGTCCACAGCACCATCTTCAGTCTGTCGCCCTCCTCCAGCATCAGGGCGGCGCCGTTGGACGCCGTGTCGCTGCCCTCGCCCCCCGGCTGCTCGTGGGCGATCAGCTCGATGTGGTTGTCGTTCTTGTAAAGCACGGCGCTCATGGGGAAGTTGGAGGGGGCGTTGGCGGTGAAGCGGATGTAGTACACTCCACGAATCGGGGCCGTGAAGTCACCTGCAGGAAGGACAGGTTAATGAACACGAGACAAAATAACTGAAGTACAAAAATTCCCGAGTTCAGGATCCTTCATTTTACTTTTACAATATTATTAACGTTTCTATACATATATGTATGTATGTATATATATATATGTGTATATGTATATATGTATATATATATATATGTGTATATGTATATGTATATATTAGGGCCGGGACTTTAACGCGTTAATTAAGATTAATTAATTACACAAAAATTAACGCGTTAAAAAAATTAACGCATTTTAATCGCACTTATTTTTGCACCGCGGAACGTTTCTCACTGGATGAGTTTCAGGGGTACCGATTATACTGGAGCACCAACTAACGTTCATTACTTCAGACAACAACAAACCACAGTGAACAATAGTCAAA